AGCTTAGCCTGCAGGCAGAGAACCGAACCGCCCCTGCCACTACCACTCTCCGCCAGCCTCATCCCTTCTTGACGAACTTTTCGCATTTCTCCAGGTGCTAACCGATTTTCTCGCACAAAGGTCAGAATCAACGGAGATGAGCGTACAGTCAGTCTTCAACGAGGCGGATTTTGACGATATTGCTTTATTTAGGCATCGTTCGATCATGATTTCTACAACAACTCAGTGAATATTGAAGAACTGAGACACAATAAGTAGGTTTCTTTTCTATGCTTCACGTCGCGGATGGCTCTAGTTTCATTTCCTTCAAACTTTCGGGTAACTACAATTTGTTGCGAAAACTGTTATCAGGGTAACCTTGACCTAGCCTACAGGACCAGCGTATTGGGAGAGTGTGTCGATGACGACGCCAGTAGATAGGGTAGCTCAACAGCAGTTTTTTGAGGAAGAGAAATCGAGGAATTTTCGGAAGGAAAATCTCGAAGAGTGGTAGGATGTGGGCTATATTGAGCAAGATGGTAGCTAGGATGGGGCATGAGGAAGTTGTGGGGGTGCAAGGTCGCATCTTGCAAAAGTTCTCCCCAACGGCAGAACATGCGTGATTGTAGCGCCACCGGCATGGCGACTGTTCGGCTACCCATTACCGACATTGATCGCAGACTTACTTTGAAAGGCTTTTAAGTATAAGAAGGAGAACTTATTGCAGCGAAGGCCTTGCAAAAACCTTGGGTTACTCGTCAGTTGCTGAACATCGACTGGCGAACAAAATGGCTGCTTCCCCGGAAACTGTCCGGAACTTTTTGAATGCGTGAGTAGTGTTGAGTAGAGTTGTGTAGCTTTTCGTGATAAGAAGATGTACGCTGACATTTCTTTAGACTGACTCGTCGTATTCGGCCAGTGTTCATTGATCGAATGGAGTCATGGACAGCTTTCGCTCAAGCCAAAGAGCTCATGTCTAGCAATTTGCAAGCTCACGATCTCGCATACATCTGTAGAAAAGAAGCTGAACAACACTACGAGTAAGCCAACGGCGCAAGCACAGACACTTATTGATTTCATACGATCCTTCTAAACACTGTGCATTTAGTGTCGATCCGGTTGGATCTGATGAACTATTTCCCATTTTGGCCAACATTCATCAATTTAACGAAGGTCCTAGGACAAATATTTGGATTAGAATTTCACGTAAGTTCGTAGCACTACCTTAGCCTTCCCATAACTGTGGCCAGTGCCCTTCAGGACGTAACGGATGGTGGTCTCGAACGTGCTCATCCAGATGC